ATGATTTTTCCATCTTTGATTGGCATTCTAGAAGTTGGGTAGATGAAGAATGAGGACAATTTTATGGATATACAACTTCTTTATTGTGTATAGGCGACGTTTCGACATAGATTCTAATGCTTGACAACGACATTAGAATCTATGTCGAAACGTCGCCTATACAGAATAAACAAGTTGTATTTCCATAAAATTAGTCCTCATTCTTCATGATTATTCCAGACGTCGTAAGATGAGCGACAGTAGTTCCGTGTTTAATATATTTTCAGTCGTTGATATTTTTATAGGGATTACATCAGAAAGTATGGACGCGCACCATCCCATCATCGGGTATAGTATCCACGTGTGTGTGTTTCACTTCACTGGGGACAGATTATAAATCAGCTTGTTATCTTATCTGTGCTTTAGTCCCGAACCCGGTGGAATTGATACTCTTATCAACATTACAGGTTCGGGTATTTGGCCTACATTTCAGAAACGCGAGTCAAACACGGATTGTATTCCACTTAGACTTTACATATTAGACTCTTTCTGGGGCAGCATTTGAGTTATTTTACAACACGTGGGTTTTATGTATGAATAACGCAGTTCGTTTTTATGCCTCTTTGGTGAGACCCACGAGCACCTGTATTGTAGCTAGAAACCGGGCATCATAATTTGAGCGAAACATGGTTCTTACCCACGCTCATAGGGTTCTGCTCAGTGTGGTTTACACGACTGGGTCACGCGTGTCATTTCGTGTTTAAAGCAGGAAAAAAACGGAAAACTCTGCGATTGACCGACTTACTCGTCAATCCAACGTGACAGGTTCAATTTCCTACATGAGAATTATTGGGGGCTTTCTTGAGCACCTGAACACTGACAGAATGTTTCTTTGTTTGTTGCCCTCGTCTATATTCCAACTATATGACAGCGATCTGTTAAAAAATAAGTCTGAACTGGACTCTCCAGTGACTGACATCATGAGAATCAATCTACGCAAATGAGATTCGATGGCATGCATTAAGAAGTCTTACGACAAGCATGGGTTACTGAAGATCAGTTCTAACCCTGATCTTCACGGGTCCGAAAAGGACATAACGTAATGTTGGCGATTGCAACGAACAAAGAGCTAAGTGTTGCATGTACAATAGTTAGAGAACAATCATCAGGTTAACATTACAGATTGTGATGATATCAAGCACTTGTTGTCGTACTTCATTCTGAGTCTAGAATTTATAACATGCATCTTTTGCAATTAAATTATAATGATTTACCAACAAACAACGATTTACCATTATGATGACGGCAAGCTATCGTTGCTTACTTGGTTCGTTGATTCATCTTTTGTCATCAACAGATTCTCACGATTTCTCCACGAGGGAACCACATGCACCTTTTCTCCAACTGGAGACTTATTCTAACCGTTGAAAAGTGAGCTACAGTACTCATTAGTTTAATAATTGGATTATTTAATATTAATCAAAATCAATCATTAAAATGTTTGATATTTTCTTTTTCATTTGGATTATATTACTGAAAATGTCATTTTACATTGTGGCATATGTATTGCATATGAAAGGCTTCAATTCTTAACCTAGTTAAAGGGTTAATGGTTCTTTAACAACCACGATACCCAGTGACGCAGTTCGTGTTTTATCAGTAAAGTCGATACTCACAAATGACATCATATTATACGCATTCTAGGAATTTTAATCTACGCGTGATGCAAACACAGATTTCAAGACCATTTCTAACAATGGACCATATACAGCATGGAAAATCAACCTCGAAATGAAAATATACATTGTCTCCAATTGTTACTCAAACATCCTGAGAAATCCGAGTCCAAACAACTCCCCCCTCCAAAAAAATAAAAACAAATAAATAATACTTCATTCACCCCATCGTATGAACAATAGGAGACGTGTATGATATGATACAGCATAATATATTACAGCGTAATATGGTTCATTGACGTTTTGCTTTTCACATTCCCTAAACTTGGTATACAATATGGTATCCTGTATGAACTCTTTATATTCCCTAAACATTGTATACAATATGGTATACCGTATGTACTCTTTGTATTCCATATACACGGTATTCAATATGGTATTTAGTATGTACTCTTCACATTCGCTAACCATGGTGGACAATATGATATGGTCGCTGAAGCATTAGAAGAAGAATATTTAATGTACGATCACGTCATCATTCCTAAATACGAGCGCGCGCGCGTTTGAAATTTCACCGTATGTGTGTGTCATTGAGATATTGTAGAAATGACCTGTGGCCTGTGATTTAGTCGTGTCAGTTTTCCACACATGTGCAAATCAGTATTTCACTTTACGTGTCCAACAAATATGAAAACCCCCTTACCCGTCTTTCTTTTCCTTTTCGGCGGGGAGGAACATTGTGTTGACGCCGGTGTTAGTTCCTTGATATAACGTTTATCCCGTATCAAGCCCGAGCTACGTATTTCGCGGTATGGGAGGACCTCCAGCTCTCCTTGGTCGATCAATAAAAACTAGGTGCGTTGTAACTTCACATCCAGAGCACGCGGCAAGGGATATCCTTCCAAGAATAAACACAACCTCGGGTGGCCAGTGTCGTGTAGATATCAGGCCTTGCTGGGACACGGGGGTATTCTATATATACCCAACCTCTAGTAGTTGACATTCTCATTGTAACTTACATCATGCATTATGAGTTTGAGATCTCGTTTATTCGGACGACTGTTTCTCAGGAAATCGTCAGGATGCATACTTTCGGAATATTACACTCAAAGGACTGGAAGAACGAGCGTGAAAACCTCAGATATTTGAATTTCTCAAGTCTTTTGGATCAGTACTGATACATTATCTGATCAGCATCTATATTCGAAGCTTCTGTATCTCGAAAACGAGCATGAATCAGAATTTAAAAGTGTAAAACAACGATATGATATTGTTGTGGAAATTATGAACATTCCGTCACTTTTTGTGCCAATATTGCGGCCTGGATAGAGGACATTTCAGTTCTGTGTTTGAAAATTTCCCAAACGTGACGGAAAAGAAATTGTGCTGAATTGTTTTAGAAATGTGCCATTTGATTGTCCCGAGAACACACGCACGCACGCACGCACGCACGCACGCACGCACACACACATTATCCAGTTTTTATTTAGTCGGTTCTACCTGACTCGACAAGCTGATACTGACAACTGACACAGCGGCGAATGTCAGTGTAAAGGACCCGGGCCTCCTTTCACAAAGCACTAATTAAGGTGATCGTAAGGTGATCTTAAGTCACTAAGGTAACCTTAGTGCAATGTTAAAGAATGGGAGTTAAGGTTAACCTTAGTAAAGGCTGCTTCGTGAAAGGAGCCCCTGGACCTCCTTTCACTAAGCACTAAGGTGATCGTAAGTCGCTGCGGTCACCTTAGTGCAATGTTAAAGAATGAGAGTTAAGATCAAACAAAGGTTAACCTTAACTCCCATTGTTTAACATTGCACTAAGCTAACCGTAGCAACTTACGATCACCTTAGTGCTTTGTGAAAGGAGGCACAAAGCACAAAGGTGATCGTAAGTCACGAATGTCACCTTAGTGCACTGTTAAAGAATGGGAGTTCAGGTTAACCTAGTAAAGGTTGCTTCGTGAAAGGAGCCCCTGATCTTATTGAGATAATTGTATTTCTACCTAGCAACCAAACTATTGGGGGACCTTGTGTTTTTTCGGTGTTTCCGATATGCTGCCCTCCTTTAATTTTCATTCCAACGTAAACAATACAAAATTTCTTATCTCATTTTCCCGCCGCTGTGGAAATGCATACTCATTACTTTACACACTAGAACCAGACCCCGATTTAAATCCGAGTTTTGACTTAAGTAAGAGTTTCTACTCAAATTTGAGAAAAAGCAGGAAAATGCATTTCCCAGAATGAACTGAAATCGATATTACACTCAAACATATATAGTTGACAATTTGAGTTGGGTAGATAGGCTACTTAAGTTGTTTGGGCCTTTTTATTTTAAAAAATGCAGTTGAGTTAAAAAATCATCTGTTTCAAATTGTCAAACTCAGTTTTTTTCGAGAAATCGGAGCCAGGTCAGCTTGATCTTTCTTCATCAACATGCATAAAAGAAATGTTTTGCTCGCTCTGCTTCATAGAATATATGAAAGACTATCATCAAGTCATTTCACTATATCATAAAATAAGCTACACACACAGGGGGAAAAATCATGTTTTGTTTTCGCCATCCGATGTCTCGCTTGCAGAGGTAGGAAATGAGTAAATCCCCAACATGAATGGCCTAACGCTAATGCCAAACAAGTAATGTCTCATTTTCTCAAATGATTTTTCTTTTTAATAAAAAACTTATTTCACCGACGCGGGTTTACCGGGCGTTTTCTTGGTGAAGGATAGAGGGAGTGAAGAACTGTTTAAACTCTAGTATCTCTACTATGGTGTGGCTGTTTAGTTCAGAGACAATGGTATTGAACTACGTTTATAACCAGCACGCTTATAACGAACTGATGGATATAACGAACAATTCGTTTTATCCAGGCCATTTGCTGTTCGTCGGAATGTATGAAACTGATCCATAGATGTTCTTGCAAAGATCTATGACCAAGGTTGCAAGTGGATTTGGTTTAAGCATATTTATTTCTGATACATTGTTCAGAAACTGGATCGGCAAACAAGCAAAACGCTTATATTAATGCCTCTCCAGACAAAACAACATTTATGCCACTTACATTTCATAACAATATTACAAAAATACATGGTATCATAAATAACAATAAGCATACAATTTACATGAATATGAACATCCACACAGCCACAAATACTTTTAGTTCTGCAAAGGGACAGATGAAAACTTAAGACAGATTAAATCTTTTTGAACTGGTAATAAAGGTATGTACAGATTTGATAATATCATGATTTATAGATCTAGGTAATTCTAAGTTACCATACAAAGCGTCATTTATGTTATATCCATGTTTGAAATAAAATAAATCGTTTGCAAGTGGATTTCACCACTTCTAATATCAAACAAGAATCGAAACCTCGGCACCTTTACACATGGAGTGTGGTTTGCTTCAGTAACAAACCTGTTCCCCAGGTCTGACTTCGCCTGACTTCCAACTGACTTCCTGAACTTCCACAAACATGAAGAAATCTGTAGACGGAACCCATTTACTCTCAAACGATCACGTCCCAGAGCTATAGGGAACATTTTGGACAGCCAAGAGAAGGACCTCTACGAAACTAGGATAAATCCGTCCAACATCGTTGGCAAAAGTGGATCAGTGTGGAAGAGGTGAACATGAAGAAAAATAGATCACTCTATCTCTTTAGTTGAAGTATTTTTGGTGATGATGAGAAATAATAACTCAAACCTCGAATCCGGTTTGTGCTTTCCGATTAGTTTATGTACAGCATTGGATTGTTGGATCTTATTTGCGATGGTATCTGGTTCACAATTATATGGAATGACGGACTCAAATCACGTGTACTGAAATACCCTTTCACTCAAGACTAATTAAATACCCCATGATTGCAAAATTATATTTTACCAGAATGTTAGAAATTAATAATTCGTTTGTTGTTCACCCATACAACCAAGAAAGCGAGAGAAAACCCCCCGAAACAACCAAACACATTGAGCAATAACATTTTACACTTGGTTGTCATTACTCGTCATGTTATAACCTTTCAGTCAAGATGTCACATTATTATTGGGCCAGGAACACGAATAATAATCAAGTCTTGTTTGGACTGGATGGCGATGCTAAATCAAACAAAGCTGACCAAATATGGATTGATTGCAATGTTTTTTCAGTGGTCGAGGTTACAGTCCTGTGACAACGTACACTGTGTCTATTTTTAAAGTTGTATTATCAGGTTACAAGTCAGCAGGTAGGACGTAACCGGGTATTACTAAATATGGCGGTTGTGTGTGCAACCGAGAATGTTTGTACGCTGATCCATGACCATAAATAAAGCAAAACTGTCACAGCATAGACTAGAATAGTCTCCATGCATTGAACACGTACGGGGATTACGTGTCAGGGAGTCCAGAAATAATGCAAAACTGTTCCTCGTGGAGTAGAATAGTCTCCATGCATTGAACACGTGTGGGGATTAAGTGTCAGGGAGTCCAGAAATAATGCAAAACTGTCACAGCATAGACTAGAATAGTCTCCATGCATTGAACACGTACGGGGATTACGTGTCAGGGAGTCCAGAAATAATGCAAAACTGTCCCTCGTGGAGTAGAATAGTCTCCATGCATTGAACACGTACGGGGATTACGTGTCAGGGAGTCTAGAAATAATGCAAAACTGTCCCTCGTGGAGTAGAATAGTCTCCATGCATTGAACACGTACGGGGATTAAGTGTCAGGGAGTCCAGAAATAATGCAAAACTGTCACAGCATAGACTAGAATAGTCTCCATGCATTGAACACGTACGGGGATTACGTGTCAGGGAGTCCAGAAATAATGCAAAACTGTCCCTCGTGGAGTAGAATAGTCTCCATACCTTGAACACGTGTGGGGATTAAGTGTCAGGGAGTCCAGAAATAATGCAAAACTGTCACAGCATAGACTAGAATAGTCTCCATGCATTGGACACGTATGGGGATTAAGTGTCAGGGAGTCCAGAAATAATGCAAAACTGTCCCTCATGGGGTAGAATAGTCTCCATACCTTGAACACGTGTGGGGAACTGAATGTCAGAGTGTATATGTGCATGAATGTATGTGTTGGTGATAAGCACGTGGTGTAGTGTGAGTGAGGAAGGATATAAGCCGACTTTAACAATACGACTGTTTCCCAAGGAAATCGTCTGGATTCATACTTTCGAAATATTACACTCATAATACTTGCAGAATCACCAGAGCATGAGATTCTTAGGGTATTTGTATCTCTCAAGTCTTATTGGCCAGTATCACGGCGGGGAAAATGCAAAAGGGCTTCACACATTGTTCCCAGGGATCCGAACCTAGGTCTTCGGCATGACGGACAGAAGCGTGTAGATATACTGCAGGACACTGGGGCTTGCTATCGATATAGTTAATAGAGATCGACAATCGTTAACTAAATATCGGTCGATTGTCGACAAATATCGGAGTTGCAACTTTGAGCAAAAATGTCAGAAAGAAATGAATATATTTCACATCGATGATGAGTGGTGTCATGTATTTACATGTTTAAATAACAAAACAGCGTCCTGAACATAATTTAGGAGCAGTCCAAGAACAAAACCCTAAAATTGCATATTGTGTGACAAAATTAATATTTATTTCTATCACAAAAGTTAATGTACTATACTATCGATAATTTTCATATCGATAATCATTAATAATTCTTCCTATCGACGATATTTCCGATTATCGATCATTTTAGCCAGCCATACAGGAAACTAGTTCCCAGTTAGTCAAGCTTGTATGGATGAGTGCGTGATTGAGTGAGTATGGTTTTTCACCCGAAATGGGCTTCATACAATGTACCCATGTGGGGAATCGAACACGGGTCTTCTGCGTGAGAGCGCACACTTTTACCACTAACACCACCGCCCCTCTAGATCTTGTAAGGATGAGAGATCAACAGGCTAATTATAGGTGTTGTAGCGTTTAATTCAGGACAGCCATCGTCCAAATATTTCTAAAGACCAAAAACTATGTAGTCACGCCATGTGACACTTAATTGTAATTATTTAATCTGCAATCTTAATCCTTTTCACTACCGCAGTGTACATTGTCTTGTCAGCCACCCTGTACCACTCTATCACTTTCATTAATTATTGTATATGACACTGACAGCCTTAATTGGTCGTGTCTGCCGTCACATCAACTGATTCAAAGAAGTGCTATTGTTTCTCTATCTGTCCATTGTTGACTCGTCGCCTGTCCATTGTTGTCAAAAACTGTATATTTGCTCATATCTATATTGTCAAGAAGTCCGGTTTTCTGATTGTCTGTTTAGGGACGACGGCGAGCAGGTTAATGCCGCTCATAGGAAACGCCCTGGGGTTGAGCAGGAACTCCGCTCACCTCATTCATGTCTTGTGTACGTGTTTGTCATGTAACTAAAGAAGTTCGAACTCAACATATCATTCGTCTTGTCAACGTACACTTCGTCTTAATTCAGAGCTAGTTCCCCTGTCGACCACATCTACACGTTGACACAGGAGTTGGGTTATGTCCATGTGCACTTTTCAATCAGGTGGTACCTGCAATTAGTTTACCCCAGTTCAGGGAGTACAGGTATTTGGGCCGGCCGTTGACCTACACTGATATGTACACAGTCACAGATTACCGGCCATGACAATGTTTCTATTCATAGAACCTATGAACTCATCCTTGATGCAATTGTGTTAAGGTCGTCGAGGTCAGAGTAGCCATATGTTTCTGCTTGGTTTGCACTTTTCGTTCTGAAACCACCTGTGGTGGAAATATATAAATCTTTTCATATACAATTTAGGATTAACGATATTTGTTTTGTGTCTCCAAGCATACCCTCAAGAGTATATGACTGAAGACTTCAAAAGAAAGTTTTTTCTGGATAACAAAGCAGATCAAATCAATTTGTAACACAAAGGTTGTATTAAATGTTAGCTAAAGTTCATATGCGAAGCTTTTGATCGTCATAATGCGTCTTACAAAGATATCCTCAGAATGAATGAGTGAGTTTAGTTTTACGCACACGCAGGAATATTCCAGCAATATGGCGGCGGTCTGTAAGTAATCGAGTCTGGACCAAACAATCCAGTGATCAACAGCATGAGCATCGATCTACGTAATTGGGATACAATGACATGTGTCAACCAAGTCAGCAAACCCGACCACCAGATCCCGTTAGTCGCCTCTTACGACAAGCATGGGTTACTAAAGATCATTTCTAAACCGGAATCTTCACGGGTACATTTAAGGGGAAGCCTTGTGGTTAAAGCCTTCGCTTCCCGACATGTGTTCAATATGTGAAGCCTACTTTGGGTATCCCCTTCAGTGATATTGCTGGACTATTGCTAAAAGCGGCGTAAAACTGAACTCACATACACGATTCCAGGACAAAATCCACTCGGACAAAATCCACCCCAAAATTGCAACCTAGGACAAAATCCACCCGGACAAAATCCATGCTTGAGAAAAACAACTTGATCAAAGATCAGGACACAATTAACTTTTAACAATAGCAATTTGAGAAGGGTGGATTTTGTCCATTTTTTTTGTTAAGAAAAGGTGGATTTTGTCCGGGCTGGCAATTTTTTGGTGGATTTTGTCCGTGTGGATTTTGTCCGGTCACCCACATATACACACCATTCAACCGTGACAATGTACTGAACATTCGCCTGTTACAGAACACTTTACTTTTGGCTTCCGTTACTTCTTGAAGCCATTGTATCTCCTATTTGTAGATTATAAACTTACACTGTGAGATCATGTATGAGATTCCGGTATAAAATAGGTCCTTAGTGACACATGGTAGTCGGAAAAGGACACTAAATGGTAGGGATGTCACGATACATACGTTTCATGAATTATACGTATCACGATACCAATGTCACGATTCGATATGCATCACGATACCTATTTTCGCGGCATTATTGCGTAAATTTAGTTACAGTTTGAACATTAATATTTCACATTTTTATAATCGTCCATGAAAAGATCAACATTTTTTATTCTCAGAGATTAAAAAGTTCTAATTTCCCATCTTTGTGCATGAAAAATAATCATTTATTACACTTTCATAACATAAAAAAACATGGTATAATTGCATAATGTAAGCGATACATAAATATATTTAAACCGACACTTTCAAAACTAAATATCAATACAGCTTTGATAATTGTATCGTCTTAGAAAAAGTATCGATGTATCGTGGCATCCCTACTTAATGGATCGCGAGGTTCGGCTCGATTGATAAATTGTCATCGAAGCTGATCATATCAATCACGGGTTTGTCTGGTCGTGATCCGATTTCCTACCGGCTGTCGTCATACAGTCGAAATGTTACACTGAATATAAATGGTGTCATGGTGTAATAATTACGGTGTTTCTTACATGCTTGTGTAAGTTGGAAGACCATGAAGATACGACAGTTTATTATAGTGAGTGAGTGAGTTCAGTTTTACGCCGCTTTTAACAATATTCAAGCTATATCACGGCGGGGGACATCAGAAATGGGCTTCACACATTGTACCCATGTGGGGAATCGAACCCGGGTCTTCGGCGTGACGAGCGAACGCTTTATCCACTAGGCTACCCCACCGCCCCAGTTTATTATAACTCTTTACTGTGTATGTAAAGGCGTATATCAGGCGAGTGAGTGAGTGAACTTATAGTGGCGAGAATGGTTTTGCACATATAATGAATACAAGGCGTCATAAAATCCAGTCATTAAAGGACTGTACTATAACTAAAGTATCACAGGTGTTGTTTAAAACTAGTATGTAAGTCTAAAACTACTACTGAACAGAATTCAATGTGAATTCAACAACTGAGGGTAGATCGTCACACTAGAGACGTTTCAGGTAGTAGTAGTAGTAGTAGTAGTAGTAGTAAAAGACGTAGTAGTGGTGGTGGTAGTAGCAGTAGTAGTGAGTGAGTGAGTTTAGCTTTATGCCGCCGCACTCAGCAATATTCCAGTTATATGGCGGCGGTCAGCAGTAGTAGTAGTAGTAGTGGTAGTAAAAGACGTAGTAGTGGTGGTGTAGTATCAGTAGTAGTGAGTGAGTGAGTTTAGTTTTACGCCGCCGCACTCAGCAATATTCCAGTTATATGGCGGCGGTCAGTAGTAGTAGTAGTA